TTCCTCTCTCATCTGCAATACGTTTCTTTCCTCTCATTTATTTTTGTTCACCACCCTCGCACTGCAAAATTTTTTTTTCTTCTTTTTTCGTCTTCGTTTTATTTATTTTCATCGTTCCCTGCGGCGGCAGTTCGCGGTTTCTCGTGTAATGTATGTATAATACATGTAGTCGTCCCTCTTTACTTTTACATTTTATTCCACTATTGTGGAACACTGCCTGCCTACGTTTGTCTCTTTTTTTTTTATTTGCAAACTCTATTGCAGTGTTCTTTAACCTTTTTGCACCTTCGGACAGGTTGCTATGAACATTTGATCAATTGTTATTGGGCGACGAAAAGGAAATAAAGATAAGACAGTTATAAGAAATTGGACGATTTCTATACGAAAACGTTTTTGTATGCGTCGCGATATAGATCTGTAGTTGCAGCTGCAAATCATGTCGCTAAACGCTAAAGGAAGGATTGGCCATCCCCGACTCTTTTCGTTATTAACAATTCCTATTGGTTCTAACGATCGGGTCACAAACTATTGGTCGCTTATTTCCAACAAAAAAAATTGTAAACGGATAAAATCTTAGAAATGGTTCTTTTATACAAATATAAACCAATCGAGAATTAGTGCATTTTCTTTCAAATCTGTTATACAAGTACTTAATGTAAATCCATATTGTACCTTGTAACTTGTCAAATAATTTAATTGAATATTGGTCAAAATATTAGGTTGAATAACACTGATCTAGTGCTCGCAGCAGTCTCTCTCCCAACTCACCTACAAATATAATCCCAATTTATTCCGCAAAATACACGCGCACACAATGTGAGGTATTTGCTTTTATTTTTCTCTCTCTTTTTCTCTCTCTAATTAACGAGAGAGAGAGAAACATGGCAAATGTTCAAATAATAACGAGAAGTTTAATTGCGAAAAAGTTTGCACGGTTTAAAACCGTATATGTATATAGTAACAATAAAGGGTTTATAAACGCGTACACATAGGGATTAGTTTTTTGGCGCTTCTAAACTATAAACAGTGAAATTAAAAAAAAATGGTGTGATGTAATTATCGTGTCGGGGTGATAATTGGATGATTTTGTGTAGTGGGTGTGGGGTTGGGAGGTTCGGATTTATGTGTCTGAGAGTGTAAATTTTGGTTTAGGCATGAGATTAGCCGCGTGCATCCCCGAGTTGTCCAATCTTGTGTAATGTAGCGGCCCCGGGGGAAATACAGGCCGATCCATCAAACTCGCAATTTGTATGGGACGGTGGGGCGGTGGTGGTAGTAGAAGAGAATATGCAGCACGTAACGCATGGGCATAAAGGCCGTAAACCGTCCCGATGGTTTGTGGATGGGTGGGTGAAGGGTTTACATAACTACTGCTGACCGGACGCCGGTGGAACGATGTTAATTAGTTTTCGAAAATGTTAATTAAAGACGAAACCAAATGCGCCAAAAACCACCGAGAAAGAACGAAAAAGGTCGAGAGCGGCGGTGCGGTATTTTATTATTAACCCCTTCGAGAATTATTGCATAACTTTGGTAGTATGGTATTCATGCAGGAATGTGTCATCTGTTTGCAAAGAATGAAGTAAAGTGATTTCATTTCTATATCATTTTGAAGCCTTGTAATTAATTACATTATATTAATTATCATTTTAGGAATATCAGAAGTTAGGATTGGGCGTTTTCCATGATATATCTAATCTGCGGCGGCAATAAATAATAAAACTGTGTACATCGCACGATTGATCCAAAACTATTTGATCGGAAAACGCGAAATGAGGGAAAACTCCTCTCGCAGTCTGCTCATTGAATAATTGATGCGAGCTGTTGCAAATAAAGTTTTCCGGTTTGGGTTTAGAGTTATTGAAATTTTAAAAGGTCTCCTCCTTCTTCCACCGCTCCGACCATCCATTCGAAACGTGTGCATGTGCACCGGTTGTATCGGAGGTTTGCAGAGAGGATGGAGGAGGAAGAGGAGGACTAAGTTTATTTTCCGGTAGCGACGTAATTCATCCGGCAGTCCTCGTAAGTCTGGAGCTCGACCGTTAATTTTTGATGGTCGACTTGACGCCGAACACGGGAAACCTTTGTCGCCGAAATTTCCGAAAAGCAATTAGCCAGTCGCTCTCCTACCTAACACGCTATAAACACACTCGACACAAGAATAACATATAATAACATGAAATAAAGAAGGAAAACGAAGTGGATATGCGGATTCATCTCCTCTGCTGTGTCGTTGCGACGTCGCGTTCTCTTTTCTTCTTTTCTTTTCTTCTTTTCTTATCTTTTTTTTTTCGCCTCTTGTCGCTGTTTTCCCTCCTCTTTTGAGAAGAGCCAATTTGCTTAACCGTGCGTTAATATTCTGCTTGATCGACATGAAAAGCTAAAAGCCAATACGTGTGTGCTCGCTTCTTCCTCCTCCTCCTTCACTACCTTTTCCCATTCAGCATCAATTTCTTTCCATTTTCCCCGTCGGCGTTTCTTTTTTCCGAAGACATTGCGAAACAGCAACTCTTAATGTGTCTCGAAAGAAAATAGAGTCGACCGCACGCAAATTGCTACCACTCCGCCACCCCCAAAAGACTTCTTGTCTTTTCAGTTTCGTGTGTTATTCTGAAAGCTGTTACTTTTTGCAATCCGTTTGCACGATTAAAGCGAATCCAAAGAATTTCAAAAAATACGCTTCAATATTTGGAACAATTATTAATGTAATAGTTTTTTTTTGTTGGTGTAATAATAAATATGAGTGTTCTCTTCTAATAGAATATGCAAATGCGGTAATAAATCTTCCACCCTCAAAAGACGAATTAACGCAACGAATGAAACTCGCATAACATTTAACTGAAATATTAAAGGCGAAACTTTGTTTCCCCAAGATTTGATATTCAAAAGTTTGCGCTTTTCTCTTTCCGTGTTTTCGCTCTCGAGTAGTCGTCTATGTGTATGTATGTCCACTTTCTTCTTTCATTCTGTCTCCCATGCCGAAAGTTTTAATGCGAGTTTAATTAAAGTTACGACGGTCGTCCTTCCTTCCTTCCTTCTTTCCTCCTGCTACTCACGGGTTTTTATTAATTTTATTGCAGAAGGGAAAAATAAAAATAAAAGGGAGAGAGGAAAAAAAAGTTTTCCTTCCCATTTCTTGCGTCTCGTCCTGTGTCGTGTCGTGTCGTGTCACTGTGACTTTATTATTCCGTGGTTAATTTTCCTTCTGGCCTGGGGTTAATTTAATGGAGAAACGGCCGCGACCTTCGAACCGAGCGAGCGAGAAAACCGCGCGCGCCCACCCCGACTTTCTCTTTTGGAAAACAAAGGCAAAAGAAGAACGCGCGCTCGAATTGAGAAAGTTGTAATCTTGAACTAAATATTTACACGGAGCTCTCTTTTCGTTTTTTCTTTTCTTCTTCTCCTTTTCACCGTTGCGAATAATTTAGTATCGTTTCCACTGAAATTAGTTGAATTTAATCATTATAGTATACAACAAGTTCTACATCATTCAATAACTACGATTTTCAATGTTAATCTTAACGAAAAGAAATCGCAAGTTTACGTGTTTGATGAATTGAAGCGGGTGTTAAGTGATTTTGGAATTGGTTTTGATTGGATGCGCAAGAAAAAAAGCGTCAACGGATTTGGTTTACTTTCATTTTTCCGCTCGTCGGAGGGAAAATGAAAATAAGGGACATGCATAATGCATTTCTGGGCTTTGAAGTCGTTTGCGCTCACCGAGGAAAATCCCGACTTTAAAGTCGCCGTAGGAATTAGATCGAATTTGCATAATGCAAGCGGCGAGTTTTCCTTCTTTCTTTTACTTCTTGTTTTCACCATGCGAAATGTTTACAAGCCGATAATTGCGGATCCCCTCGCAGATCTTTTCTTTTGCTAGTCTTTTCGTTGGTTTCTATTGGAATTTGGAAAAAAAGACAAAGAAGAAGCGGATGTGGTGGTTGTGTAGGAGTAGGAGTAGGATGAGGATGAGGAGATGGAAAAGAACGCAAGCGTTGCCCGTAACGGCCCAAAGGAGACGAAGAAAAGTTAAAAAACTCCCATTTAATATTTAAAGATGTTGGGCTGTTGCGTAACGATAGTAGAGGGAATAGGAACGAAAGTTTCTTCTCGCGAAAAACGTAAAGGACACACACACACACTATTGCATATGTGTGTGTTAGTATAGATGTAGAGTGTAGTGTGCATGCATGGTAGAGAGAGAAGTGGAGTGTGGGGTCGATGGGTTGGAGGACGTGGAGGACACTCCGTGTGCTACGCTATTCCATATCCCTGCGACACGGTACAAAAGGGCATTAAATATTTAAGAAAGTCATGCATACAGAAGTGGAGTCCCCGAAACAGCACACGTCGTCTCTCTCTCTCTCTCTGCATGTGTGTATGTGTGCACTGCGCTTCCGTTTCTCCCGAACAAACTTGGAAATGAATAAAAGTTCACGAAATAAAGGCAACCAAAAAAAAAAACTCGCTTAATTTATCCGGATGCATGGCAAAAGTCCACATAGATTGAATGGATACGCTCGCAATATGCAGTAAATGTATATAGTACAATACACCGAGGAACATCATATTTCCTTAATTTCATGGCAAATAATAGTTCTATAAGATATTTGCAAGATACAATAGAATCTCAACTAATCTGATATAGTATGGATGTAATAATAATCATCGTGTCGTTTGAAAGTTGTGACTTGAAGGAAAAAGAAGGTTTTTATTTTCTTTTTGCGTTTTGCAACCTGCTCACTTTATTGGCGGAGGATGATGACATTTTTTTTTTTTTGCGTTCCGTTGCATGATTTATAAATGAGGCCGCGACGGCCCCGACGGTGCGATGATCATCTCTGCTCGCCGACGAAAATCCACTAAATTAAGATTAAGCTCTGTTCGCATTTCGAATTCAGATTGAGCGCGTCTCATCTGCATATACGTCATCTTCAGAATGCATAAATCGAAGTCAACTAGTAATTCTAATAAATAAATTATGTTTCGTTTGTTTGCAGCTTTGATAGGGATCAGCCGTTCTCGTTCCAGTTGGGCGTCGGACAGGTGATCAAGGGTTGGGATCAGGGTCTGACCAACATGTGCGTCGGCGAGAAGAGGAAGCTGGTCATTCCACCAGGTCTCGCTTACGGCGAAAGGGGAGCCGGAAACGTCATCCCCGGAGGTGCCACCCTTCACTTCGAGGTCGAACTCATCAACATCGGAGATACACCACCAACCACTAACGTCTTCAAGGAGATCGACGCCGACCAGAACAACATGCTCAGTCGTGAGGAGGTAAAAGTCTTTGTAAGAATTCAGCCCAGCTTTTTTTTATATCTACTCGTCTGGTCGCTTAACCCGCAACGTGACTAACTTATTAACAACAACAACAACTACTACATCTTCTATTATTCAATAATTTAATTTGCGAAACGTAGATTTATTTGGATGTGTGTTTTAATAATTTGTAGAGAACTTTTAACTAATGTTTGTTTGTTTGTTTAGGTGAGTGAATACCTGAAGAAGCAAATGGTAGCAGCCGACGGTGAGAACCAGAGCGAAGAAGTGAAGAGCATGCTCGCTGATCACGACAAGCTCGTCGAGGAGATCTTCCAGCACGAGGACAAAGACAAGAACGGATACATCTCGCACGAGGAGTTCTCCGGCCCAAAACACGACGAGCTCTAACGCACTTCATCATCCAATAACAAGAACAAACAAAAATCAACCCCCCTTTCAAACTAAACTTATCAATTATTTTTTTAAACGTACGAAAAACGAAGGATATGAAGGAAAACAATGAGAAAATTAAACCTAATGACTGAATAGAAATTAAGCTACTACGAAGAAAACGAACTTTTTTTCCATCGGTGGCAACACACGAACGATTAGGTTTCAATTATTTTTTTTTGTTTCAAATCCCCCCCTTCCTCCCCTCCTTTCAAATATTTATTATTTATAAGATGTTATAATGTTGCAAATAGTAATGTTCTCTCTTTTTTATATATAATATTGTTCTCTTTATTATTATTATAATTATTCCTTATAACTTTTTTCTTTGCAAATGATGAATACAATCGTTTCTTCCTCTCCCTCTCTCTCTCCTATTTAGTTTATTTCCGTTCCGTACGAGAAGGAAAGAGTTTTATTTAATTTATACATTTATTTTTTGCGAGGAGTATTTGAGAAGCGCCTCCTATATTTTCTTTTCTTTTTTTTTTTGTAAAATCCGTTGTTAATTATATAAAATAATAAATGAATTGAAAACAAAACGAACTTAAAATTGTTGATGTTGATTATTTATTCCGTTTTTATTTTTTATATAATGATTGAGATAAATAATTAAAAACAGCTTATGTAACAATTTCAAATACTAAATTTGAAATTGTTACATAACATAACTGCAAGTATAAAATAGTTAAAACAAATATACATTTATTTAACTTCTCGAGTTCGAGCGATTTTTAAATAAATCCACTTTTTTACTCATTTCTACAGCTCATAGCAGGCGACTCGGTAAAAACACAAAGATTTTTGTAGTTTCGTTGGAGAGGTGAGACATTCAGCTTTCATACGAGTGGTCGATGATGTAATTATCGTAAGGGGTTGTCGAGAAATTCACAAAAAACTGAAAAAAAATCGAAAAAAACGTCGTTTCAATGTTACGTAACGAGCATTACGTAACTTTAATTTTGTTTCATAAAAAGTTGCGCAACGTTTGCATGCATCTGATTATGAAATAAAATCATAAAAAAGTTTATTACTTTTCGAGTTATTATCGAAAAACTGAATTACATCCATTTTTTGACAAATTCTATTCACTTTTTTTCCAATTTCTAAAGCATCATAGCAGGCGACTCGGCGGCAATACAGAAGATACCAGTGGGCTCGTTGGAAAGGTGAGACATTCAGCTTTCATACGAGT